TTAAATTTTTAAAAAAGAAAAGTAAATGATACTCTCTATATACTCCGCCCAGCTATTTATGATCCTCCCATCCTGTCAGTTTCTATTACTGATTTTATCTTTTTGAAATGAAAGTATGCTTTAACTTTTTAAATAGTTAAAGAAAATGTGTGCTTTTTAAATATTTACAGTTCTCAAATGAAGAGGTTGGGTGTATAGGTGTGGAGGTTTAATTGCAGAAATCAGCTATGAGATTTTTTTTCTAAACCAGTATCTTCCAACATAAATTAGTGCATTGTTTCTTATTCATTTAAAAATAAGTTTTCTCTCACTTTTAATTTTGCCTTTTTGTAAGCTTAAGGAAGAAAATAACCATGTCAGCCTTAAAACAACTCAGATTAGAGATATACGAAAGTCTATTGTCCTAAAATCTCGTAGTATTTGGTATAGGTGTTAACAGTGGGAGCTCACTGGCAGAGATATTAATTCTGAAGCCTGCGCGCGTGGATGGGAATCTTCTCCAGTTACTCTGTGCCTTTGATTAGCTTCTTAAAACTTATTTATCAGTACTTTCTCTTGTTGCAGTTTCTTCATTTGTATCATAAGAAAACAGTGCCTGGGGCATAGTATAAGCACAATGTAAATGTTGGTTACTTAGTATAAATAAGAAAAACAAATACACTGTAAAACTTTCCTTCATTTCTACAGTTGACTCCAATGTTTATTCACTTAGTAATGTTCATAAAGCATTTAAAGAATTTATAATGGATAGTTCTTTCTTAGTGATATGTGATTCAGTATCATAACTGATGTATATGTATAATGAAATACTACCCATAAGGAACTCAATATAATTCCTGGCAGGTTAAGTAAATCTCTTTACTCACTGTTATGGTAAACAGTGTATCTAATCTAATAATCACTCAATAGATATTGACAGGTTGATTGCCTTTAACCTTTTTGACATTAATGATCTATTATTCTTTCTACCATTACAGAATTTTTCCTTCTCTTTTTTCCTCTCCTTTCCTCAAATTGGTAACAAAATTGTGCAAAGTCAGAAAAAAATCAGCATTTAATAATGGAAAAATAACTTTGCCAATTCCAGGTCATATACTCTGAAAGAGATTTTTAAAGAATTCATTAAAGTTGTGCAAGTCTGTGTAACTGTCATCCTCTAATAGAAAGAGCTAATGTGTAGGATTGTGGATGTTTTACAAGATTAATTCTATTCTTCAAAAACTTTATTCATGGACCAGCAGTTAGCGTAATGGCTATGTTGCTGGACTCCCATGTAGTTGACTGCGGTTCATGTCCCGGACCTGGGGGCTTAAAACTCACGCCGGGCGCGTGTGCGTGTGTGCCCAAGATCCCTAGAGGAGAATGGAGGAGAGGGGATTGCAGCATGGCTATCTCCCCTGGGGGGTGGGGGTGATTTCTCGCTTTCTGTCTCTTTGTCTCTCTCTGTCTGGTGAGTGCACGCACCCTATAGAAAAAAAAAGAAAACTCTCCAAAAAAAAAAAAGAAAGAAAGAAACTTTATCCATACCTTCTTTTTGTTTCTAAGACAAAGTATTTAGGTAAAGCTACATTATTTATTTTTATTGAATAACCTCCTAAGATTCTTTAAAATTTTTCCTAAGTTTCTTTCAGAAATAAAGTTGTGGGGCCAGCAGATGGCACAGCAGTTAAATCACTGGGCTCTCACATGGTGGACTACAGTTTGAGTACTGGACAAAAATGTCTGAATGCTTATTCCTATTTTCCAAAATCCCTTCTAAAAGGCCTGGGGGGAGTCATGCAAACAAACAGTAACAGGCCATTTTTTCCATTAATAGGATTCTTCGTACATCCTGTCCCTGGCACATAGTATCTTTGAGATCTCTATTTCAACCCATTACAGTATTTTGTTTTCCTTATCTCTTCCCAAGACACAGAATTTCCCTTTCCTTGAGATGCAGATTAAGCATTTCTTTACTAATCTTTTCCTAAGACAAAGATCTACCCTTCCAAACACCAACCTAAAAATTGTGGAATTTATCTATAACCTACAAGCCACCTCCTCATCCCACCCCAACCCCTGCTTCCACATGTCCCACCTTTTTTGGGCCAGGCCAATGGAAATCTCTTCACTAATTTTGTCTGTCACTCTCGAAATTAAATAAAAGGAACCCATGTACCTGATTACCCTGAGAATGGTGTGTTTGCCACCTCCTCTCTGGGCCTAGGTCACTCATATTCTGCTTGGAAATAAACTGCATTAATTATTAATTATTGGGATCAGCGGTTGGCATAATGGCTGTGTTGCTGGACTCCCATGTAGTTGACTGTGGTTCGAGTCCCGGACCCAGTGACTTGAACTCATGCTGGACGCGTGTACGTGCGTGCCCAAGATCCCAAGAGAAGAATGGAGGAGAAAGGATTGCAGTATGACCATCCCTCCTGGGCGGGTGATTTCTCGCTTTCTGTTTCTCTGTCTCTCTCTTTCTGGTGAGCACACACACCCTGTAGCAAAAAACTCTCAAAAACTATTAATTATTAATTTTTTAGAATTGGTTATTTTCCATCAAAAATAACCTGTGCACACACATGTGCATGCATGCCCAAGGTCCCAAAGGAGAATGGAGAAGGGATTGCGGCATGGCCATCCCTGTTAGGGGGTGATTTCTCACTATCCCTTTCACTGTCCCCCTCTTTCTGATGAGCATTTGTGCCCTAAGGCAAAAACCACTTTAAAATAAATGAAAAAATAAAGTTGTATATCCCACGTATATATGTTATAATGGATTTTGACCCATATAAGACCAAATTATTTAGAATTCATATTTTTAAATGAAAATTTTATAACAGTGCAGAAGGTGAAAACAAACATGCTGTCACTCTGGGATGTGGCCCAGGAAGTACACATTTTTAGAATGTGCCTCTGATACTGATGATCTAGGGACCACATTTAGGGAAAAAAACCTGTTCTAAGGTGGCCCTTCACTGAGCACAAATCTCGATTTTGACTTTCTTCACAAGTGCTAATCAAAATAGAATCTTGAACTTACCAGGGCTTTGCTCTTAGATTTCAAATACATTGTGAAAATTCACATACCCAGATTTTTTTTTTTTTTTTTTTTGGAGAGATTTTCACTATAGGGCGCGTGCGCTCGCCAGACAGACAGAGAGAGACATTAGAGTCAGAAAGCGAGAAATCACCCCCCAGGGGGGATGGTCACGCAGCAATCCCTTCTCCTCCATTCTCCTCTCGGGATCCTGGGCACGCACGCACACGCGCCCGGCGTGAGTTTTAAGCCACCAGGTCCGGGACGCGAACCGCGGTCGACTACGTGGGAGTCCAGCGACATAGCCTTTACACTAACTGCTGGTTCCCCAGATTTTTTTGAATAACTAAAATTTGAAGGACAAGAATTGCCAATGACTGAACAATGCCAGAATTTCTCCCTTTCAGGGCAGTTGTGGTACACTCATTAGCATTTGTATTGTATTGGAGGTTTAGAAGAAAAGATCCAAAGGTGTTTGCCTATTTTTATGCCATGTGCTTGTTGCTGAACCAATAGAGACCCATTTTGACTTGAAGTTGTCTTATGCTAAAATAGAAGATAGTTACCTTGAAGTCTCTGAAAGAAGCTAAAGGATGTTCTGTCCAGATCAAAGTGAGTGGTGATTAAAGGCAGACTGCTCTTCCTGAGTGCATGTGTTCAAATCCCATGGGGACCTACCGCCTGTCGGTTATCTCCTTGGGCAACTTAACCAACTCCCTAAGCTTCAAGTTTCCCATCTGTAAGATGAATCAGTAAAAGTAACTTTATCATGATACGGTGGCAATTAAAGGAGAAAGTATACTGTCTCATTCTGCTATTGTATGACAGAAATACCTCGTTTTTTTGTTTGTTTTTTTTTTTTCTACAAATAATAGAGACTGGCTATGTCACAACATAGTCAACAGAAGCAGGGAGATTAGTGGGCACACAAAGTGAGAGGGAGAAGAGAGAGAGAGAGATACCTGAGGGATAGCCATCTTCCTTTCTACCAGGAAGGAAAGTTTCTGGTGGAAACTAGCTTCTTCTCCTGGTTAGTTCTGGAGAACTAACCCAGTCTCCAGAGACAGATCTGTCAGTTCCATGAGGGTGAGGCCTCCATGATGCAGTCACTGCCCACTAGGTCTCACCACCTTCAACCTTGGGGGCCAAATTCCTAAACATGAGCATCCATGTAAAACAATTCTCACTACTCCTAGCACATAGAACTTCCTTTTCCATCTAGATCAATTCCTTGAATTGGTCCTAGTCCTCGATTAGTTAAATTTGTAGTTTTTAGTCTCTGTTAGCTTTACTCTTGGTTACTTCTGAAAGTTTTTCTTTTTTTTTTTTTTGTTTGAATGAATTAAAAGCAACGTTTAAAATCTGAAGCCATTAGGAGGGCAGTTTAGATCAAGCCATTAGTAAATAGACTTTTCAAAAGATTTATTAGTTCTTCAGAAGCACATGGCAGGGAGGAGGTCAGACCTACTTCCTGTTACTGCTGTTTCTCAGTGTGCCAAGGTCACATATTTTGGTAATGTGTCCCGAGCTCCATCATTCCCTGTCCCCATTCATGCAGTAGCATGTTCACCAAGTAGTTCGATAGCAACTCTTTATTTGGCCATTTGAAGAAAGCATATAAAATCAGACATTGAAGGCTGGAAAGTTGTAATGAATGGTTCTATTTCATCTCACACAGAAAAGGAAGAATAGGGCACTGGAGCTCTCCATTCAGTCACTTAGTGCTGAATTTTAAATTTCACTTGATAAACTCAATGAAAGGGAGGTATTTTGTTTTCTATCACAAGTAGTTACTCCATATACTTATGATCTTCTTTGTAGGTTTATTTTTGGAAACAAGAGTAAGAAAAGGAAGGTGGTATATATTTTCTTTGTACTTAACATTGAAATAATTTTTTAGTTTTATTTAAAAATGAGGTTTATGAAATATGTTCAGAACTGGTAATTATTAATATAATTCATTTTTATGTAACAGGATAGACATGATTCAGTTGATGTTCAAAATACTTGTCATGTATGGCACATGAATACAGAAGCTCTTCCAGAATGGATAAACTGCCTCATACAAAAAGTGAGTTTCTTCATTTCAGTAAAATTAGACATACACAACTTCCAGTATGTTTTTCCCCTTATTTTATAGCTACTTTTCTTGGATATATTATTTCAAGGCATATGAAAAGTTGTAATACTCTTGATTGTATTTATCAACTTCTTCCCTGTGAGTGGAGTGCTTCAGGTACTTTTCTGTCTCATATTTTACACTCAGTATTCCTCATTCCTTGAATGCTGTTCCCACAAATATTTACCCAGTTTGTTCCCTCATTTCCATAGTTCTTTATTTTCAATGAGACCCTGCCTCTCCAACCTGTAAACTTCTTCTCCCACCCATCACCCCTCTTGACATTTCCCTTTCCCCTTCTCTACATTATATAACTGTATTTACAGACATAACCATATTGTAAGTAGAAGAGATCACCTACTTATATATACATAAGTATATACATTACCTAAGTATATGTAGTATTATACACACACATACATTCACACACACATGTAGAGCTTATTTACCTTGTTGATTGTTGAGCTCCCCCACTTTTAAGCTCCATGAAGATTTTTATTTTTTAAAAAATTGTGATTTTTGTTTTTTACTAGTGTGTAATAATTGTACATATTCCTTAATCAGCATCCCTCTGTTTCCCTGTCCCACCCCCATTCTTCCCAGCCTTTAGCTGTCACTCTTCATCTCTCCCTCTATGAGTCCAGTTTTTTTTCCAGATTTCACATGTGGGGGAGAACATGTGATATTTCTCTTTCTGTGCTTGGCTTATTTCATTTAATATGTCTTCCAGGCTCATCCATTTAACAACAAATGATAGGATTTTATCCTTTTCAATGACTTAATAGTTCCATGAAGTTTTTTTATATCTTAGTCAATACTGCATCATCAGCACTGAAAGAGGGCCTGTTGAGTGAATGAAATATTCAGCATGTATTGCTCATGTAGAAATACATATGTATATGCACATACATACAAAACTGAATACTTAATGACTTGATGATAAAAATCAAAGTGAAAATACCATAAAGGATACTTAATGAAATTAATGAGAACTCTTAGTATTAACAGGATGATATCACAATCCTTCATAATTCAAAACGCTTGTCCTAGAATAATATAAGTAATATCAGTATCATTTCTGGAAAAGTAACCATATCATTCTAAACTGAATAGCTCACTTTTTTGTTTAAAAAAACAAAAACTGATAGATATTTCTTGTATCCATTCTCACATTTTAATGATTTCCTGGGGGTAAACCAGTGCACCAATTTTAAGTGTCCTAAACTTCACAAAATATGATACTGCAGATGTTCCACTATCTGTTGAATGATTATTTTAAGCCAGTTCATTATTAAAGTCCAATCTGAGTAGAGAAAATGCACTGTCTGATGTATGCAATCAATATCTTTTGGTTGTATGTAAAAAGCCAGGAAGAGCTTTATTCTGTTGGTTGGGTAAATTCCCTCCCACAGTGTTTGGTATGCAAGAAGTGTATCAAAACAGACACTTTTCTGTGAGATTTTACTTGCAAATTAAGCTCTCTAGACTGATTTGTTTCCTGGTTCCATAGTGTATTTCTCTTTTCATTAGTTCACACTGTATCCATATTCAGCCTATTGTTTAAAAGACTCTCTTTTGGAACTTTTCAGAGTATTGTTCTGATGAGCAGGGATTGCAACATGTTATCTTCTAGAACTTTGGAGCTGCTTATCTCTATTTATTGGAAGGGTTGTTTTCATTTACTGTTCTGTCTGCTAATCAGAAAACAGAAAGCTAGCCTTTTCTGTTGCATAGAAAACTTTCATGTGATTGGCTTTTTATTTTATTTTTTTTCTTTACACACACATTCTCTTTGGTTACTTTACAATGAAGTCATTGTCCTTATTTTCCTTTATTACCTGTAGGCCCAGTGGACAGTTGGAAAACTGAATTGCCCTTTCTGTGGGGCCCGTTTAGGGGGCTTTAATTTTGTCAGCACTCCAAAATGTTCCTGTGGCCAGCTTGCAGCTGTACATCTCTCCAAGAGCCGGACCGATTTTCAGCCAGCAGAGGCAGGCAGACTAATGAGACCATCGCTGAAGTACTTGTCACATCCTGGAGTTCAGTCAGGTTGTGACAAGGAAACTCTGCTGACAGGTGGTAGCTCCAAAAGCAGAAATCACAGGCTTTTAAACATGGCCCAAAATAATAATGGCCCTGGAAGATTAACAGACGCACTCTGCCTAGAGGTGAGAGCAACATATTTTGAGATGAAGAACAAAAAACTGCTCTTCAAAGCATCTGATCCAAAATACCAGCTTTTTGTTCCCCAGCTTCTGACTGGCAGATGTACTACAAGAGCTTTTCATAGAAAATCACACAGTCTGGATCTGAACATCAATGAGAAACTGACTTTATTACCCACTTTATATGAAATTCATAGTAAGACTACTGCCTATCCCAGGCTAAATGAAACACAGCCTATTGACCTTTCAGGCTTGCCTTTACAATCTAGTAAAAATGGCTGTTCCTTTCAGAACTCATCGAGTTTTGATCCTGACATGCTGCTGCAAAGATTTTCAGTGGCTCCCCGTGAAACCCAGACACAAAGAGGAAGCGAATTTCAGTGTGGTCTGGAAGCTTCTTCAGTGTACTCTGACCATGCTAGCGCGAATAACCTGACTTTCGTGATGGACCTGCCCTCAGCTGGCAGGAGCATGCTGGAGGCCTCAGACCAAGAAGAACACCTCTCCCCACTGGACTTCCTGCGTTCAGCCAGTTTTTCATTGGGCACCATTAATCAGAGGCTCAATAAGAGAGAAAGGAGCAAGTTGAAGAATCTAAGAAGGAAACAACGAAGGCATGAAAGATGGCTACAGAAGCAGGTAAGTTTTTTTAAAAATCGTTTAAAAAATTTTATAAATTATAATATTATAAATATTAGAGTTTGGGGAGTGGAGCTAACTTTGAAGAACTATATTATAAATATTGCGTTTTAATTATTTTGTCGTGGTAATTCTCTCTAGGTATACTTAAACGTGCAGCCCTGTTATAGTTGACAAGTACAGCCCTGTCTCTATGCTTCACACATGTTTAGGAAAAGCCCCTTTTGTGCAGTTTTTCCCAGTTCTGCTGATGTTTTAGAGAAGAAACATTAATTGCATGATATCGAGACTGGATTTTCACATACATTTTAAATTTGTTATATGTCAAGATTGTTTTGCAGTGATTTTATTTCAAGTTAAGCGGAAACATTTTTCTTGCAGTAAATCCAGTCAGGTGACACATTCATTGACTTTTCATCAAATTTAGCTTAAGTGGATATTTTCAAGGAGCCTTATATAATCATGTGTCCATAGGATCCAGATACAGTTAACTGTGTTAACTTGTGAAAATTACCTAAAGGATGGACTGAACTGAAAGGAAGTTTTTAGGAGATTCTTCTTCTCTATGTTTTAAAACACTTCTTTGCCCATAATATGTGCCAGGGTGGGTTGTATGAAGGTGCTAGACAGTAAGTGTTAGATGCTGTGAGAACTTTTAAAGTCAAAGAATGAGAAGCTCAAGAAAATTTGGAAACCCTCAAGCTATATTTCTGTATAAACTATTTTTTAAAAATTGCCTTCAATATGTACTTGTTAGTTAATTGAGAGTAGCCCTCATTAGTCAGTGTACTAAGTATTAATATTGTCCCCAAACTATAGAAAGATAAAACTTAATGTAATAGTTCCTTCTTTTAAAGTGAAGGTTAAGTTAAGTGAAGTCACTGTGGCTTCTGATCCTAATCATAGAGTAAAAAAAAATTAAATTACTGCTTTGAGTACCTCAATCAGATTAGGTTACATAATTATACTTATAGATAATTGTGTATTATATTTTTATCTGGCTATTAACAGAATTATTTCAGTTCAGTCTATTTGCAAGTGATAGTGTAATATGACATCAAAGTGTATTTTATAGAATGTAAAAAATAAATATGATTTGGCATCAGTATACTATACCTCACAGTTTAATTTACTGAAACTATAAAACTCAAAACTTTAATTGAGAATTTAATAAATACCTAAATTGGTGATGATCATACATTAAGTGGGTATTCAGAAAGAATATCATAAAAAATAATTATTGTAATGTTGAGGGATCTAAAAATTATTCTCTAAGAGATCGAAATTTTAGAGTTATGACCATTATACATACAACTTTATTGTAAATATATGCAAATGATAACTTTGCAATTTTAAAAATGTGTTTAATTCTTGAATTCTTGGAATAGGTACATCTGAGAGCCTTTGACTTTATTATTGATCTCTTTCCAGAATGGAAATGCTCTATTTTATTGTTTGGAGCAATAAAAGGAACATTGATGTTTTTGGAATTTTTTTTTTTATTTATTTCAGTTTTTGTATAGACAATGTTTTTTTTTTTAATTCATTCATAGACATGTGACTTGACCAATTTGCTTAGCTAATGATCAGAATTAATGAGTCTTAGACCTGTGACAGGGTAGTGTAGGGTGACATGGCAGAAAACTAATAGATTTGATTGTTTGCACAGAAGCTACAGCAAACAAATGCCCACTGTTTCTGGCAAAATAATTTGAAAGAGTAGAGCTGCAGAGAAATTTTGTGAGTCAGTGATGTGAGTACACACCCTGGTTACAGCCAGAAAAAAAAAAGTCATAATTTTAAAAAGTTAGTCTCACTAATTCAAGGAAAAAGTCAAAAC